TTGAGTAGAATTTCGATACACAAAAATGGCGACACTAGCTAGAGCATCTCGCCGGCTCCTCCCTAGATCACTCACCACTATTGTAATCGGACGACCCTTTTCAGCAGAAACGGCCAAGTCGCAATCTCCGCCTCCGGCACCTGTAATTCGAGAATCGCCGGATCGGGTCAAATGGGACTATCGGGGCCAGAGGAAGCTCATTCCGCTCGGCCAGTGGGCTCCCAAGGTAGCCGTCGATGCTTACGTGGCGCCCAATGTGGTGTTAGCCGGTCAGGTGGTGGTCCACGACGGCGCATCTGTCTGGAACAGCGCCGTCTTGCGTGGTGATCTGAATAAGATTACTGTTGGGTTCTGCTCCAACGTGCAGGAACGATGCGTTGTCCACGCCGCCTGGTCTTCTCCCACAGGTTAGTATAAACTGCCCGTATAAGCTTATACCGTAGATTTTTTGAATTTATCGATCCTGCTGCCAAGCTAGGATTCTCACCCTCTTTTATGTTATTCTTTAAGTAGTTATTAAGTAAATATTGTATTTGAGTTGGCTGATAATTGGTATTTAGGTGAATCAATATTGTTCATGAAGCCTTGTTCCATCACCTTAAAGAGAAAAAATTTTAAATTTTGACCAGAAAAGGAAACTTGGGAAAAGCTATTCATAAACTTAACTTCTTGTTCCGGTATCCTGCGGAAGGGAACAAGGATGGCCAATGCTACAATGACCTTGTGTAATGCCTTCTGCTTCTAAAGGTTGTACATTTCTCTATAATCTTCGTGAGTGTAGCAGGAAGCTTCAGGTGGAAAAAATTTCTTGCGGAGGAAGCCTACTATACGAGTCCAGTAAGAAAGATATTAAAGAAAAGATGAAATTACTTGTGTGGGGAACTAAAATTTGATTGTCGAAGTTATGAGTTCCAATAAATAGAATCGGAATAGTGTTCTTAGCTTTTTATGGTGACAAAAAATTGTGATTCTAACTGCCATGCCTGTGATTAGTATGAATTTGAGGGGTTTCTTGTCATTCATACTGTACGGCCCCTACTTGGCTTCCTTTTTAGTTACTTCGTAAGTATGTATAATTCTTTTAATCGTTCTTTCGTGATTTGGATATTTTATCATGTAATTAGAATAGCACTTTCTTTAGTTTAGTTGTAACATAAAAGGTTGGTATGAGATTATTATAGTGTCAATCACATTAACATACAAAACCTATCTTTAAGTTCATCAGATTTAATATAAAATAAACTTTTTACCAAAAAGTTTGTAGAGAAAACCTAGAGAGCAAAAATCATCTCATTTAGAACCTTATATTTCACACTGCAACTATATTGGTCCATAAATGAGAAGAAGAATGTATTTTCACGTAACACATTCTCGGCTCCTAATAAGGCTTGGAGTGTTGTGTCCTTTGGAACGAAAACTTGTGATCTTGAATGTTAGTTGTCCACTCCGGAAGGATGTTCTCATAGTCAAGACTTCTTTTTCTAGTGTTGATGCCAACATAGCAAGTATTGGCAGATATCTTGGAGGTTGGCTTCATTATTATTCTTTTCCTCCTGAATTGAAGGTCTCAATTTGGGTTGGCACGTTACATGAGTATTTCATATATTTTTTGAAGCCCTCATAACTAGGCCAAGAATCTTTTGCTGACTTCATGTACTTCAAGGGATAGTATTATCTATTTTAAGAAATGGAACATTTGTCCGGGACATGTCGAGGGAGGATATCTTCGTTGATTTTTCTGCTTTAGGCCTAGTGGTGTATAATTTCAGTAGGTAGCATGTAATTCAACTTTGTGAGAAAAGATTGCGGCCAATGATGGATTTTGCTGAGCAATCTGACCTAGTATATTAAATTCCATAGAAATGTATTTTCAGTTATCTGAAGTGCCATTTAAGAGCTATGGGAATGCATACCTCCAGTGAGAATTGATACAATTATTAATAGATTTCAGGTTTGTTGGTTGGGCTGTTTATATGGTTTTTCCATGAATAAATTTGCTCAATAATTGTACTTCAATTGTTTGTATAACTGAACTTTACATTTATCAAGAGTACAATACTGCAGTTGTTCGTTGTATTCATCATACACAATGACCACTTTCCTAGGAATATGGAGGAGACGTAAAACTGGACCACTGTAGGACCAGAGCTCTAACCACTGAACTGTGTTGTTTTAGATAACATGTTTCAATTATAAATTATAGTAATTATTTCCCTACTGTTGATCCTTTGATGATTATTCAGTTATAACATATTTTTCCGTACGACGGTGGCTCATCTATGAATAGAATTAGAAATAAATAAGTAGGCT